CCTTTGAAAATGCCCAAGTGTTTACTTTCTCGTGGGTACCACTCAGTGATTCGCGACGTTCACAGTTATTGGCAAGTATTCTTCATACTCAGCCTCCAGGTATTCGTGGTTCCCAAGTGCAGGAAATCAAAAGTTTTGGCGGGGAAAATGCTCACTGAAGAGCTAGTTTATTCTCAAAGAGCGACCGTAAACGGAAATTGTTCATTTCCTCTATGCAAAGTTTACGATGATTTATGCTAGTGAGTGCAACGTGTCTTACTGTTCATCGGAGTTTACTTTCCCATTTGTGGTAGCGATTACATCCTGCATGCCGCTCATGTGACCGAGAATCGAGAGAGCGATGAAGCGAAGGAACATCAAATAATCAATGACAATTATGCTATTTCTTCTCTGTTCAATAACAGTAAGATTTTTCAGTAAGGCATAGCGAACAACGGGGTGTAAGACGGAAAGATTCAGTTAAATCAAGTCCAATAAATTCCTTACCAGATGAAGAAGGCGAAGCAGCAACAGAAGGAGGAGGAATAGGATTCAATACCACCGGATCAGCTGGCGCGTCCGATGGCACCGCGGGGGCAGATCGTTCCGGTACCACATTTATTGGTTCCGAACAAGGCGCTCCACCTGTTTTTATGCGTGCCTTCAAACAATAAATAGCGATTAGAATGATGCATACTCATGAAAGTCATGAAGAATGAATACTCATGAAACTCGTGGAAAACGGGCACTCATGAAACTCGCGAAAAACGAATTCCCACAAAACTAATGGTAAAAAGATATCTATGAAATTCATAAAAATATTGAGAAACGAAAAACTCATGAAAATGAATATCAACGGAAGAAAACAGTAATTATAGGTGTTCAGTTGACATTTTCCTTTCTTTCAATTCAATTTCTTTAAACTTTGTGACGAAATAGCCATTCGTATGGAAAAGAAAAATGTCATGGAACACTTTTCACATAGGTAATACAAAACTTACACAAATCGGTTTATTGTTAAACGTTTTGCCAAGATTCTGTAAATGCAAAAATGCACGCTGCGTAGCTTCTTCCGATTCAAACGTAACATACCAGCTATTGTTGAGACCGTACTGCAGGCTCAAATACGGCGGGCCACCAGTGAACATCGATGCTACCTCCTGAAAAGCTTTTTTCTTACACGAAACATAACAATGAGCGCTTTTTTTGCATACAAATGGCTGAACCTGAAGTGGAACGAGAAAAATGGGGTGCACTTTACGAGCAAGAATGCGTGATAACAGATGGATAAGGTGGATTAATGAATGCTGTTCACATGAAGATAAAAGAACACACGGAAGATTGTCAGTACGATGAAAGGATCCGCTTGAACGACTATACGAAATTATGTGGATGAAAAGAACTCAAAACAGAAGACCGCAACATATTTTTAAAAATACTTGAATGAAACTTCGGTAACTATGTTTTACTGCATAATGAATGTAACATACTTGATAACATCATATAATATCACTGGCCTTTTTTCTCAAAAAAAAGAAAAAATGAAAATTCATCAAACGCTGCCTGCAAAGAGCTGCAGGCAATAATTCTCTAATTATAGTATTATGAATTTCAAATGTCTGAAATTCTGATTCCTTTATAATTTGTCCTCATTCATTTCGAAAACATACTGGTACAGCCACATACCAAAGAGTCAAAATCGCCATCTACATCCTTCTAAGTAACCCTCTGAAGTGAGTGGAGCCATCAAA